ATTATCATCAGCGTCATTTACGTGACTTGCCGTGTCCATTAGGCCGGCAAGAGGATGGCAAGATGGCAGGACGGCCAAACAACGTGACCCAAAGGATTACAGCGACCCGGGGAGTTATTAGACCTATCAGCAGCAAGGTACACCGGCAACATAAATTTATGTGCATATACATTATATAAATATAATAAAGAGAAATTAATAAAAAACAAAATCGTAAAAAAAAGCACCAAACTTTTTTCTACTCTACAAACTTTGGGCTTAGCTTCGCTTGGAGCCGCGCCACGCTGTTTAGCCCCACTTAGTCGGGCGATGGCAGGGGTTGGGTTAATTTAAAGTTTGCTTTATATTAAATGAAAAAATAAATAAAAAAAAAAAAAAAAAGAAAAAACAGCGGCCAACCTGCAAAGGGTCACTTGAATTTGATCGTTGCGCGAACAATTTTTATTTGCACTTTTGATAAATTAATTAAAAGCGAAAAAGGGAATCTTTAAAATAATTAATTAAATAAACGGGGCAACATGGCAAATAAATAGCCCACAAAAGCAAAAGTTGAACAAAAAAGCAAAACACAACAACAACACATTCGCACAAAAACAAAAATAGCAGTGGATGATGACTGAATGCCAAATGATGAATGCGCCTCAAAGCGAACTCTGAGATTGAGGCGAGGGCTGAGGCGGAGGCTGAGTCAAAGCCTGAAACGAACTGAAATTATGGCAACCAACTGACACAGAAATCCATTTTTCATTTTCAGCCATAAGCATAGAGAGGCGGCAGTCGAACTGAGCTAGGCTGGGTCGGGGCTCACTGTGTGTGTGTGTGTGTGTGTGTGTGTGTGTGTGTGTGTGTGTGTGTGTGTGTGTGTGTGTGTGTGTGTGTGAGGGGGGCTGGCCAAACAGGACCCAAGCCTTTGCCTACTTATTTATGAGCTTGTATGTCGGTAGTTGGTCAAACAAAAAACGACGTAACAACAACAGGAACAACAGCAGCACCGTCTCCCAAAAAAAAGGGTTAGAGATTACAAACGAAAAAATAAATAAAAAGAAGCAGCAGCAAACATGCTGCTGATTTTTGTTGTTGGCTGCTGTAGATGCTGTCGTTGTTCCTGTTGTTGCTGTTTTTATTGTTGTTGTTGTTATCGTAATTTTTCTAGCTACTGCTAGCGAGTCTGAAAGATACAGAGAAAAAAGATAATAGCACTGCGTACATAATTCGGGGCACGCCCGACTCTAAGCTACTCTCTAACTGCTGGAGTGAAGCATAATTTAATTAAGAAAAATTGTTTTCGATTGAGAAATTATAATTGAACAAATAATAGAAATTTGATATGCTATAATATATAAAGAGCAGAGATAATAAAATATAAATTACAATAAAAAAACTTTTTATGCATAAATTAATTGCCGTACAAATAAATACTTAAATCATTAGAAAATCATACTTAAGTTTTATGTAAATTAATATTTA